ATTAATTAAACTTTTGTCTTAATTTTTTATAAATAATGAATAAAAAATAATTATTTATTTATTAAAAAATCAGTTTCTATTATTCCCTTTTCCTAAAAAAACTCGTCTCATCTATCTCTGTATTTTTTGATTAATATAAAAATAAAAAACCAGTAGAATAATTAAGTAATTTATTACTTTGTATTTAATTCTTTAAATCATAGAACATTGTTTCTTCTTTTGTTCTATTCACAACAACACATAAACCTTAATGGATGGTCTCTTGTTTGAATACAACAAAGAAACTTAAAAAACATTTCTATTCGTGGGTATCTCCAACATGAAATGTATGAATTATCTACAACATAATAACAACATGAACATGCCCCTTCTGTACATTGTGCTGATAAAAGAGCATAACATTCTCCCACGACAACTACAATAAATAATAAAATTTCAAGAGGAATAAGAGTTAATGACCAGTACCAATGAACTATATTATCTAGTTTCAATCCAATAAAGAGTAAAATCAAAATAAAATACCAAAAGATTGATGTGTAATGGATGCATAAACAACATTCACAAATACCTTCTATCCCATCAGTAAACTCTTCTAGTTCATTGTCATAACATCCAAATAATATTTTTTTACATCTACCTTCAGGTAATGAATAACAGATACTACAAGTTATTACACATGACTCACATAAGAGAGTCACTATTGCGATATGGAATGGTATCAAATAACAACTATAATATCCCTTAATTACTTCACTACCTCTTAGAAGACATAGGAACAAAGATACGAATATTAGAAAAATATAAGGAATAACTCGAGTTAACCACCAACACTCAAACTTTGGTGGAGACCATGCCCATGGCAATAAGTTACAACTGAAACACCCACAAAATGTAAAACAAAACAGGTATATTGTTAATGGAATAAGGAGGATAAAACCATCAATGTACTTTGTAAAATAAAGACAAAATAACACTAAAGTTGATAATAAAACAAATGGAATAAAATGAAGGAAAGACCTTTTAGAACTAAAGTAATACAATTGACGAATATAAGAGAATAAACCATTATATATTTTATTATCTCTATTATTCTTAGTCATATGCTCTATAAAGTTATTATCCTTAGTTAATGCCCCACAACAAGAAGAAGCCATTGGAGCAATTACTTGAAACACAATTAATAAAATAATATCAACTAAAATTGGTGTTGTACCTATAAATCCATCTAATGTTAATCCTCCTAATAATAAAAACAAAAAGAGTAAAATAATGGAGATAATATCAGTAAACCAATTTTGTAAACATCTTCTTCCAATTAACCCACACCTTACTCTTGTTTGAAGGTTGTGACTTTTTTGTAATTCAAGTGTAAATTCTTTTTCAATGAGTTCACTCATTTTAATAACTTGGTAATTTTTTATTGTTTCACCAATAGTTGAAACTGATTGTGGTGATTGAGTAACTGTCTTTAATAAATTTAAATCATTTTGTTTAGTATATAACTGTTTACAAGTAGAAGTCATATGAATAAATGAGGGTAAATCTAAATGATTGAAAATTGTATCAATAATGTCTTCAGGTAAGTCTGTAAATGATGGAGAGACATTACCATGAGTATTTAATTCATCTGTTTGAATTAAAAGGGGAGGTTTGCTTTCACGCGTTTCAAGTGGTTCAGACATGGTACCACTGATATGAGGAGTTTTAAATTAAAATAAAAAACACATAAATTTTTAAAAAAAGACATAAATGAATTGTTTTTATTCAAGTGTAGATTAATGTGTTGTTGAGTCATTTTGTTCTTTTAATGCTTCAAGATAATTTAAGATATTTTGAACAAATTGAACAGCTTTTTGTGACATAACTAACCCTTCCATTGGATCAGTACTTTCTGGCTCATATAAATTAGGTGCTATAACAATAGCAAGATTTTGGATTGTCATTTTATTTGTTTCTCTGTTCTTAGCAACTTCAATCATAAGATCAAATAACCAAGTTAATAATGCATGTGACTTTTCATTTAATGATTCAAAGGCTTTATAACTCTCAGCTGGTTCAGTAGAATAGAAGATTTGGTCACATGAAAGTACATTTAAAATAGGTCTTGGTAATTCACGGAACCATAATTTAATTAAATTAGATATATCATCAACAGTTGCATCCATCATATCTTCAGTAATAATACCATTTGATTTGTTTAAACGTTCTTTTAAACTTTTTACCATTCCTTGTTCTCCAGCAAGTCTAAAAACACCTTCTGAAGTAAAACCTCCTTTTTCTCTAAATGCAATATCTAAAGTAATAATAATTTGTGGAAGAATTAAATCTCTAGTTGGATGTTTAAACCATTCTAATGACTCAGGATCAACACCAAAGACACCAGACTCAGATCTTAATCTTACGTTAAGGAAAATTTGTCCTTGAGTTTCAGCAGATAAATTAACTCTAAAATTTTTATTAATTTTTTGTCTAAGAATTAAACTTGCTTTAATTTTCTTTTTACTTTTTGAAGCTAAACTTCCTTTTTCTGGAGTAAATTTTAACTGGAAATCTTTCTCAAATATTTGTTCTAACTTGAAATTTATTTTAAAATTTTGTAAATTAGTAATAATAATTTCATCTTTATATTTCTTATTTACTTCCAGTACAACATCTCCAAATAATAGGGTGTCTTTATTTACATGAAGAGCATCACTTAAAAGAACACTCTGCCTAACATTTCCACTTGGTTTTTGAATTTCATTTCCCATGTTCTTTTTAAATTCTTTTTAAAGTTCTATTGTTTAAAAATAACTCAATGGTAAAGGGTTTAATATTCCTATTTTTGATTATTTCCTTGTTTTATTAAAAAAATTTTATTCGATATTCCAAGTAACTAACAACAGAACGAAAATTAATAAGATAAATTTATATTCTCTTATTTCTCTTTAGTAAAAGAATTTTTGTTATTAAATTTATTTATTTTTGATGATACAAAAACAACAAAAAACGAATAAATAATAATTTATCGATAACATTTTTAAATAGCTTACATCAAAGATTATTCATGGATGTTTTGAAGAAACAATAAGAGGGCTTTTATTTTCTTTTTGTAGTTGAACTAATAATGTCTTATTTACGTTAGTGTCATCTTTTGTTAATGGGACTAATGGAGGAGATGATATATTTTTAATATTTGAAGTTATTAGTTTTTGTGTTTTTGAAAGAGTATTAGTACATTTTCTAGATAATATTAATGACCAATAAATAATGAATAAAAAGAAAACACAAGCAATAATAAGTAATATATAAAACATAGTTTGGGTTTTTGTATTTATTTTTAACTTTAATTCATGATATGAATTTTTTAAGGCAACTAATTCTTTACTTAATCGTTGATTTTCAAGTATTTGATTTGTATTTTCTTTTTCAAATATTGTTAATTGTTCACTCATAGTCTTAGTTTCTTCAAAAGATAAACTTATATCTTTTTTAATTTCTGTTAATAATTTATTAACAACATTCTCTGTTTCATTTAATGATAAAATGTGTTGAACAAAATGTTTTTGTAATTCATCTATATGACCTTTAAACACTTCAAGTTCTAATTCAACTCTCTGAATTCTCATTTTTTGTTTATACAAAAATGTTCTTGTTGTATTTTCTATTGTTATATTATTTAATGAAGAATTTATAATCTTTGTAGTTAAATTAATAAATGGTTTATTTGGCTCAGTAATAAATTCTTCTTCATTCCATTGAATTGGAGTAATACTAGGTTCGGTAAATGTATGTTCATTATCTAATAAATTAACAGAATTATTTTTTACATCTTCTGTTTCTACCATATCATCAACTAATTCATCCAATGAGGATATTCCATATGCTACAAATTTGTTTATAGAACAATAATACTCTTTTCCATACCATGAGGTTTGATGAATTTTAATATATTTACACCAGACTGGGTGAGGAATAGAAATTGAATGTAGTATTTTTTGGTTAGGTAATCTAAACTCTCCTAAAACACGCCAATAAGTCCCATCCACAGAACAACTTATTGTTAAATTCTGTAATTGATTACTAAATAATTCAAAATTACCAATACCAACTTGGTGTAATTGAATTGTTTGACATAATTCAACAACAAAATGAATATTGTCTTGACATGGCGAAAGATAATATTCATCTTTATTACTATTCAACAAGTTGTTACTACCCTTCATTATTAGTATCAAACATTCATTATTTGAAACAAAAATAAAAAAAAACAAACACATGCTTTACTATTTGTAGCAATTACTTTTGCACCACAATCATCTGAAGCGTAATTATTTTTTCTATCAACTAATTGACCATTCACAGACAAAGAATCATTACCGTTTAGATATTGGTTTTCATGTATTTTTTTTAAGCTATAGAAATAAAATATCTTTTCTGTACTTAAAAAAAACCCAGTAAGTATTATGACACCAGAAATAATTATCACAATATAACTAACATTTAATTTCATAGTGATTATTTTATAGATTCTTTAATGGGGTTTAAGAAATTATATAACTACCTTCAATTAGTTCTCTAGTCAACTTTTGTTCTAATCCATTTTTACAGGGTTTTGTGTTGAGTGGTTTGATAAATTATTGAAAGGTATTACTTTTAGTTTTTTTCTTTAATAGGGTATTAATTGATATAGACTTGCTTTCTTCTTATGAAATATAAACGTCTTAATTCAGTCAATATAGTCTTAATTAAGGCTAATAAAAATAAAAGAGACTTATTTATGAATAAGTTATAAAAAACGTTAAATTGTTCTGACAATATTATGACTAAGTGAATAAGTGTTCAATGAAAAGAATTGACCAAATAAGTTATTAGTAATTACAATAAACATTAATCCTTATAGGATATAAATATATTAAATTTCCTCTTTAATATATGTAGAGATATTTGCTTTTAAGGTTTATTGTATATTATTCTTATTCTTCCTCTTCTATAACTTTATTTTTTCTATTGCAATAATTCCAAAATTCTAATAAAAAAATTTTATAAAATTTTTTATTTGCTGCTAAGTATACAAAAATTAAAGTATTTTCTTATTTAACTAGACTTTGAATGAAATTTTTATCACTACTTTATTATCTTAATAATAATATTAAGACAATGGGTTGAATCCAATTTGATAATGTAAAGCAGCATTCTTTACAGATAATCCATTTATTAATTTAAACTAATAAAGGAAAAATTATGTTAAATTTTATAAATTAGTATTTACTTTTAAAAGTTCACCCCTTTCATTTTTAATTTATTTCAAAATATCTTCCTCTTTTTTTACTGTCTTAAAAGGATAAGAATCAACTCAACATCTATAGGGGTATTGCTAAAAATTTACCTTTACACAAAATTAATATTAAATCTTTTTCTTTATAATAAATGAGAAAATAAATTAAACCGACAAACAGAAATAAAAATCTTTCATAATGTTACAGGTTTTAAACAAATATTAAATACTGGATTTAATGAGTAAATTTATTTGGTAAATAATATGATTTTATTTAATAACAAATTTTGATTAATTTCATTACAAATATTTCATATATTATTGATACACTAATTTATAGTATAATGAAATAAATATTAACGTATTTATACAAAAAAACAAAACAAAAAATACATTGGAAAGAATTTTTTTTTCTTTAATAGAATAACAAAATACTTTTTATTCAACAACCTAAGAAATTCTTTTAACTTAATTGAATATTTGTGTAAGTAAAAGAATTTCTAATAAACTTCATAAATTATAAAAAATTTAAGTAAAAAAAATGACCTTTTCTTAAAAATAGATTTTTTGAGAAACTTGCATTTCCTATTTTTAACAATTCTTTTTTAGTTTCCAAGAGTGACTTTTCTTCTTGTAATATTATTTTCTCCTTTTGTTATATAATACTAAATATCTCTTTATATAAAAATATTTCTTTAACTTTACCAACATGTTTTAATATTACAAGTATAATAAGTCAGTTCTAGAGTGTAAGAAACATCAAGTTGGGAATACAACTTTAAAAAGAGTAATTCTATACTATTTTTATTATTATGCCTCATTAATTATATTTATAAAGTTAAAAATTCAGAAGTTTTATAAAGTAAAGAAAATAACAATGACTAAAAGAAATTATAATCATATTCAATGATTATTTTATTAACATTAAAGAAAATCCTTCTTAAGTATTCATACAAGAATTGAAGCTAAATTAATTTAATTTTTGACTATTTAATTCTAAAAACATTAAAATCTTTGTTATTTACACATTTCTTCTTAATAAATTAATAAACCAAATATTCCTCAAATAATACATTTTATTTTTTTTTCATATAATAAATTGTAATTATGATATTTTTTTCAACAAAATAATTGCTTTTATTTATTTTTATTAATTTCATTGTCATTCTTTTCTTGGAGAATACTACCTAAAGAAACATCGTGAAACTTCGTTTAAATTTTTTTTCATTCCAAGAAGAGTTTTTTTCTATCATAACCAAACCTAGGATATAACTTTGAAACCAATCAGATGTCAGTTCCGCCACAAACCCTCAATAAGAATTTTGGTCCTTTCTATTCTCATATTTCCTTTCCTCGAACAAATGTTATGCCACATCAATTACATCAAGTACATTCTGAGAAACAAATTTTATCACATTTTTTATTTACAAACAAAATTGCAGATTATGCCACTTTAAAGGTATTACTATTACAACCTTCTTCTCCATTGTTAAGTGCTTATATAAACTCTGTTTGTTTTTATTTTAAATTGTTTTTCTTCTTTCTCAGATTTTAATCTAGTAGTTTTTAAAGGGTGATGATTCTCAAAAATATTTGGATGTTCTACTTCATTATTATGATTCACACAATCTTTTACCTCACTTGTTAGTTAGTCTTGCTTCATTTGAAATTAAATCAACAAATATATGCAACCCACTTTTTAGAGGAAATACATTATTTTCAAGAATTTATTCTTTATATTTAACCGAATATTGTTCTTTTTTCCTTACGGAAACTTCAAAGGCGCTATTAAATTTCCTCTCAGCAATTCATTATGATGATAAAATGAGCAATCAAGAAGATATTTCAGTTATTATTACTACTTATTTCTCTTTAATTTCTGATTCTTTTAAATATATTCCACAAGAACTTCTCTGGGTTCTTCATTGTATTTATCAAAGAGTACTTATCTCTCGAGGTAAATCAGATGCAATGATAAGTATAAATACATTATTCTTTTTGAGGTACTTATTTATTCCATTTAAAGAAACACCATCATTATTTAAAATAATTCAGTCACAAATATCATCAATTTTTCTTCATTTACAAACTGTTGAGCACAATGAACAAACAAAACCAATTATTGATTTGATTGACTGTATTTTAAATAAAATTTATTGTATTACTTCACCTCATTCCACTCATCCTAAAATGTTTGATAGCTCATCAGATAATGAATTATTGTTTATACTTCGTTCAAACAAAGATTTAATTCTGAGTAATTATGAAGGTGACCCTTGTGATCTCTCTTCATTATTCTCACACCATGAGACATCTATCGTTCCAATAAATTCTCCTTCAGACAAATGATATAATTTAATGTATTTTGTTATTTATTGTTTCATATTTCTTCTTTATGAAAAAATTAAAACTTTAAACAAAAACTCATCAATGAAAGCTGGATTTGAAGGTGCACCACTTTCTTTAATCATTTTTATTTCTACACTCACCCTATCACTTATCTCATATTTTGGATTTCTTGGGAAAGATACATTAATACTGAATGAAGAATGGTATAAGCATCCTTGGTGTATTATCACTAGTTTATTTTGCCATTCTTCTATCAGTCAAATAATATACTCTTTACTATTAATTTATACTTTTAGAATTCTTGAACGAAGATGGTCAACACGAATATTCCTTCAACGACATATTCTTATAAACGTTATAAGTCTCTTATTGTCAGTATTTATTTTTCGTTTCACTCATAAATTTTATTCGTTACAAACAAGTCATACAGTATTTATTATTTATTATTATTTAGAAGTATTACCATTAATTAAATTAAAAATTTTTATGTTAGAAACTTCAGATAACTTCTTTGTATATTTTTCATATATTATGGTTTGTTTTATTTTATTTAATTAAAAGGAATTAAGTCATATTAACCAACTAAGATGTTATTTAATAATTTTAAAGATGGGATATTTTTTACTTTAATAGGACTAATTGCTGCACTTATCTCTTTATACCCACCAATTTATTCAGTTTTTCCATCACTCCCTCATTCAATAAATTCAATGATTGACTCTTTCTTTGATTATATTGACAAAATTCAAACACCTTTTACATTCATTCAAAACAATAAACCTCAACGTCGTCAAATAGAAGGTGAATTTATGCAAGCTATGAGAGAAAATATAAACCCAATTAATGAACAACCTACTCAACAAACACGAGACCAAAAAATACAAACAATAATGGATTGTGGATTTACTCGAGAACAAGCAACATTTGCACTAAATAATACAAATGGAAATGTAGAAAATGCATTAGCTTTCTTATTAGATAATGGAAATTATTAAATTTAAACCATAAGTTAATTGTTTTTTTTTAAAAAAAAAAGAATGAATGAGTTAAACAGAAAAAATGTATTGAATAAATTAATCAATCACTTCCAATTGGCTTTTTTGGTAGTTTTTCTTCTATTGGAACTTCAACAGGTTTTGAACTTTTATCATCTAAATGATTGAACGGTTTTTCTGTGGTGTCAGGATATCTATATGCATATTGATAATCTTGATCATACCTTCTAGAGTATGGTGTATATTGGTACGGTGTCCGTGGATCTATTGCTCTATCCATTGTTGGGAGGGGACGATCCATAGGAGGTCTTGTGTCCATCATATCTAATGAGTCAAGACGAGGTTGTACTGTTGTATTTATTCTATCTAGTTGTGAACGAACATCTAAATAAGTGTGAGGTGGTGGGTTTGAAACACATTGATTTGGTAATCTACTATCCATCATCCTTTGACTAAATGGTTGGAAACAAGATGGTCCCTGTGAATTAACTGATGGGATTGGTTGATTTGAATTTATGATCTTTGGAACTTGATTTGGTTGTTCAACTTTAATTTTTTCATCTTCTTCATCTGTATCATCTTCTTCTTCACCAGCTTTAGCCCCTTTTCTTTTTCTACTAAAACGAGGATAATCAGCATTAGTTAAAGGTGTTTGAGTAGGTGTAAATTCTGTAAAACGTAATAACGTTTTTTCTATATCTCCAGATGAATAAACAAAGATCTTATTATTAGTGGAGTTAAAACAAATTAAAGCAATCTCACAATCACATAATATAGACAACTCCATCGCTTTTTTTATCAATCCATTTTTTCTTTTGGTGAATGTGGCTTGACGGTTTCTATCATTTGCAATTCTTTCAATAGATATTTTATTTCTTCCCATGGCTGTATTTAGACGAACCAATTTTAACCATTTTAGTTCTGTTTTTACCCTTTTTTACTCTTTTTTTAGTTTTTACTATAAATAATTTATAATAAGCTATTTTTATCTTTTTAAACTTCAGAAACGAAGAAATTAAAGTTTAAAATAAATCAAAGAAAAAACAAATTTAAAAAAAATTAAAAAAATTTTTAAAAATAACTTTTTTTGTAAAAACTGAAAAATAAAAGTAATTTTTAAGATTTTCTTTAGAATGAGTGAATTAAGTGAAACAATTAACAAAATTGAGCTTAATCAAATTAATATTGAAATGTTTATTGAGAATGAAGAAGATGGTATAAAGTCTGTCAGTGAACTTTTTGATTTATTGTCTGATGGATATTCAATACCCAGAGACTATCATTTAATCTACCTTATGATTACAAAAAAGGTCAACCCTTTTATTCATTATTCTAAAAGTCTTATAAATCCAATGCAACTTTATGAAAAAGTACAATTTCAAATGAAAGTATTAATAAGGGTTTATGAAATGATTTGTGTTGCAAAAGGAATTATACAAAACAAACCTGAATATCAAGAAGAATTACTTGAAGATTTATTAGAATTTTCTAAATGTATTTATTCTCCTGTTAAATCATTATTCATTCATCACTTTATGTTGGACCTTATTTCAATTTGTGAGAAAAAAACTGATAGATCATTATATAGGTTTATAATTACAAATACATTAGAAGCAACAAAAGCTGTATTACGTCATGACAATTCTCATAGAAATAAAGTTGAAGATATTATTGAAATGTGCTATCCATTAAAAGAAGTGTATGAGGCATTAATTAGTTGTCAACTAATTTCATCTGAATCTTTATTAACAGAAATTATTCCATTATTACTTGGTGAAATTGTTGGTGCTTCTCATGACTTTTCAAAGCCTATTGTTTTATCTGCTTTAATGGATTCACTTCCACCTACTCTTCTTCTTGAAGGTTTAAGTTCTTTTGTTTCTTCAATCCAACAATTAGAAAATGACTCTGCTTTCTCACGACTTGGAGAATTAATAAAAATATTAACGAGAACTTCAGTTAGTGCATCTGATTTTACTCTTTTAGTTAAGGTAATTTCTCGTTATTGTGAGTTTATTGAGACAGACGTATTTATTTCTCTTCTTCAGTCATTATATCAAGTAGCTAGAGTTTCTCAATCTCCATTAGAATTCACATTAGAGGTATTTTCATTAATTTCTCCAATCCCTACTCCATTAAATAGTACATCAACAACAAATTTATGGAATTTATTAAGACAACCTATTGACTCTATTGAACTTAAACATTTTATTAAAAATGAGAATTTTAGGATTGCTGTTAAAAAATTACCTGAAGATCGTGTTGTACCTGTTGCAAAGAAGATTTTAGAAAATTATTCTACTAAATTTATTGTTGAAAGTGAAGAAGAAATGAATAATATGTTAGAAGTATGTGGGTCATTATTTAATAGTACTAGTGAAGATGCAGAAAAAGGGTTAAGAATGATTCATATAACATCGTTGAAAGACCCTCAAATTTTTAAGAACATTTTTAATAATTTAGCTGAACAAGCAATAGGAATAACATGGCAAAATGATAAAAGTCGTTTAAATTGGTGTATTCCACCATTGGTATTTGCATTATTAAAAGCTGGAAGAATACAAGAATCACTAAGAGATTTTTCAAGTGATTTAATAATTAAATATTGTGATATATTGAAAGGGATTGATGCAGGTAAAACTGTTAGAATTGGTAGTCAAGCTGCAGTAACTCTTGCTGAATGGAAATCTATGAAATATAAAGACTTATTGGTTATTTGTTGGGAAGCGTATGGAGATATTTCTAATTCAATTGAACAAGAAAAGAGTTTATTAGCAATGATTGGAATTGTAAACATTATTAATGTTGGAATAACTGAAGCAATTGATTTAAGAACTAGTGTTGAATTAAAAGCAATTGGACTGTTAAAAACAGTTCAAAAATGTGAATTATCATGTAAATGTGCATCACTTGCTGGTTGTACATCAAAAATAAGAGATGATAAACATGTGTTTGAATTACTTAAAAATACTGCAAAAATGGGAAGTAATGTAATTCAATCAATAGAAAATATTCATCTCTTTGTACTGATATTAAATTATTTTATGATTCATTTTACAACAAATAAAGAAATTCCAGTTGAACTTATAAGTAAACTCATTCTTCTTATTAAAAATGTGATTATACAAGAGACTGATCCACAAACTTATGCCTTTTTTATGAACACCTTATTGGAAATCAAAATAAGAAAAGAGTTTAATCCTCGATACCAACAAATTCAATGTTAACACAATTTTTGTTTTCATTATGTATCAATTCAATTATTACCTTTTTTTTCTTCATAAATTTAATTCATTAAAATTGCATATCAGCAAAGTCTTGGTCTGGTGCCTCTTCATAAAACGGTTCAGGTGATGGTTTCTTACAACAGAAAATAAACGTACATCCATCTTTTATAAGCACTGGCAATGATAACCAGAATACATAATTTGGAATAACAGCAATTCCTTTTTTCTTAAATACTAAAATATTTATAATAACTCCAATAACTAAGTATAAACAAATACCACTGAAAAGAATTAACAAGAAAATAATTCCTACTATTGGGAAATCAACATCATCATCATCGTCGTCGTCATCATCATCGTCATCATGATCATCTGGATGTGGGTGTGGGGATGTAGAAGATGTTTGTTTAGATTCGATATATTTACAAACAAGTGAATGGTACATTTTTACTTCAAACTCACAGTCATTATCATCGTACTTAACATAAAATATTGAGTCGTTTACATCTTTAGAACAATACACTTTCACTTTTGTTTCATAAGTCTCTGTAGCACTACAATTAACATAAGAGTTGTATTTAAATTCAACATAATCTTTTTTATCTTTTAAATATTCACTTGAAGTTAAACCCATTAAATCAATTTTATCATCTACACTAATTGTTAGAACGGAGTAATCAGGTGATGGGATAGTTGAATTGAATGTATAATTATATAATAATCTTCCACATGGATTAACATAGGTAAATGTTCCATTGCCTTGGGAAAATGAATAATCTTCAATTTCTGAATGAATAGAGCTAAAATTAAATCCATTTAATATGCACTCATTGGCTAATGTTGTAAAGGTAATAAATAATACAAGTAATATTTTCATTTATCCAAAACAATATAAATTATTTTAGTTCATTTTCTTTATTTTTTAATTCATGAATGATTTTTCTAAAATTTTTATGGTTTTTTTTTAAAAAAAAAGAAAACCCTACAACAACCATTTATCAATGACTTCAATTAAAGGACATAATGCACCTGTAACTTGTGTCAATTGGAGTCTTACCAATAACTTTTTGTTTTGTTCTGGAGATGAAAAGGGAATATTTAGGATTTGGGATTTTAGAACAATGAAAACAATTAAAGCATTCCAAGCACCAAATAAAAGTTCAATAACATCATCACAATTTAATGATGACATCTGTTTTGTTTCAAGTGGAAATGAAATAAATCAACTTGATTTACGAGTTGATGGATTGTTCATTAAAAATGTATTATTCAAAGATGAAGCTAAAGATGAAATTAATAAAATTAAAATAGACACCACAAATAATAGATATGGTTATTGTGATGATTCAGGTAATATCAGTGTTTTTGAGTTTAATAGTAATAAAAGAATTGTTGATTTAGTTGGAACACATGAGTCAGTTTGTAATTTATCATCTGAATTTATTAATGAAATAAAAGAAAATAATACTCACGTTCATTTATGTTCTGATTTTGTTTTTGATAAGAAAGAAATGACTTTATACTCTACTGGACTTGATATGACAGTAGTCAAATCTAAATTATGGAACCCATCTCCTAAAACTAAATATGTAATGAATAAATGTTCTTTCCCAAAGACTGGAACAAATACCCTTGTTAATCCACCTATGGCACATTCTATTGACATGAATATGAAAGGAGATAGATTAATGGTTGCTTGCGGTAATGGTATGATTTATTGGTTAACAACTGGTGCATTGAAAATCACTCAAAGTTTTGAAATATCAATGGGAATGTTACAACAAGCATCATATTTTAATCATGATCGATTATATTTGATTGCAACTCCAAACCAACTTCAATGTCGTTCTAGTTGTGGTTTGTTTATTTTATTTGTTTATAAAAAAGTTTTTGTATCACTTTGCTTTTAAAAACTTAACAATAGCATACGAAACTGTTTTTGCTCGTAACTTTATTGGAATTAATGACTTTTCTGCTAATCAAACAACAAAACATATTCTTGTTGCAGACCATTCATGTGATATTCATTTATTAGAATCTGTGGAAGAAAAAGAAGATGATGAATAATTTTTTAATTTATGAATTTATTAACTTTTATTTATTGTATTTGAGTTATTCTATTTATTAATAATTATTGTTTAGTTTTTTAGATTTAAATTTGACTTTCAAAAATGAAAGTTTTTTTATATCATTATTTTAAATTATACACGAAGTTTAATGTTGATTTATCTTAAATGAACATGAGATTTTCTTTATTGTAAGTACTTCCAATCTTTTGGTTTTTTATTTAAAAAACATATAAACAAATTTAACATAAAAAATAGTCATAAGTATAGTACAAGAAATAATGATTAATAAATATATTATTATTGTGTTTTACTTATATAAAGTTCTTTTATACTTCTAGTTTATTCATAATTATTATATTTCATTGTTATAAAGAAGTTTAAAACAGTTGAAGGTTTAATTCATCAAATTTTTTAAAATGATGACAAAAATAAATAAAAAACAAATTAAAAAAAAAGAAAAAATTAATTAAAAATTCTTGTGGTTTAATGGAGACAACAAAATTAACTCATGCTATGAAAATTGTGTTTCCTGAAAAAATTATTAGTCAAAGTATTGATGGATATGGATATAACCTTTATGTTCATGATGAAACAAACTCATTAACATGTTACTCTCTTAAAACAAATACTATTATAGGACATTTTGCATTACCTCTCAACACATTAAAAATTCGTGTTGCACCTACCTCACATCATATTGCTGCTATTTGTGATCAAATAGCACATATTTATTCATTACCAGCAATGCAATATATTGGTTCAGTTGATAATTTGATTGATTTAGTATGGAGTAATGATGGATTTTTCAAAGACCAACAATTTTTAGTTCTTTGTCATGATGGGTTACATTGTTATCAAATAGTTTCTCAAAAAGATAATGAAATATTAGAACATGTATCACACAAGTCATTAATAGGAAAACATATATTTGTAAATAATTCATATAGTGATGCTTGTGTTTGTGGAGAAAGAGAAATATTTACATTCTCTCCTTCATTATCAGAAACAACACAAATCACTAAATATCCATTTAAACAAAAATTAACAGATGCATGTTTTTGTAAAAAGGAATTATTTTTATTATGTGGAACAATTTTAACAAGTGGTGATAATACAAGAAAAGTTAGTCTTCCCTTTAGAGGTAGTTCATTTAAGTTGGTATCTCATTTTCCTTCAATTATTGCATATGATGCAAATAAAATATTTATTATTGAGCCAGAGAAATTGGCTGTTCAAAGTGTTATTGAAACAAAATTTCTTTCAATTCAACAATTAGAAACAAATACAAGACTCTCATTATTAACATTTGTAATTCCAACTATGCTTGGAATTGGTGTTATTTGTAGTGATGAATATACTGCAGAAAATGCATTTCTTAGAGTTTTTGAACTTAAATCAGTGAAGATACATACTAAAAGTTCTGTCCAATCTTATAAACTTGCTCAAATGAGTGAAAATAGTTCTAGAAGTAAAAATAGTGCTCCAGCTTCAGATTATTCTATTTTCATAGGAAAAACAACAGGACTTGTTGAAAGAGAAATTGCAGAGGTATTCCAACAAAATTTTGGACCTGTTGTTAAAGTACGTCTTCATACTGGTTATGGTTTTGTTGATTTTGAAAATGCAGCAGCAAGAGAAAAAGCATTATTGCATCAAAGTATTAAAGTCAAAAATGATAAAACAGTTACTATATCAAGTGCGGTTCCAAACAATAGTAGCCACAGAAAAAATTAAATAATTTAACTTTTCTATTTGTTGTTAGTGTGTTTTTTATTTTATAGTATTAATTTACATTAAATATAATTGTATATAAAAACAAACCCAATATTGAACAAAATCATGGAAGGAGTCTACGAACACAGGGAATAAAGCATTCACACTTGTTTCAATTAACCCTACCATTATTTTTGCTGCTCGTTCATCAGAAATATCCATTCTTAATTTTTCTTTTAATTTAATAATAACTTTAACTCCCATTTCTTGGAATACAGCAATGTTGGAGTCTGTCATTAATTGGAATAAATTCATAATCAATTTAGATGATTTACGAATTGAATTATAACACTCACAACATAATTTTGTAAAGTCTTGATATTGAGTACTTCCTTTCCCTCCCATACACTCTACAATTTCTTTACATAACTTCATTGGAGGTGGGAATGGTTTACATTCTTTTCCTAAAATATATCCAAAATCAATATGGAACATTACTCCATTACCTCTTACCAATAGATTATCTAAATGTCTATCTCCTACTCCAAGAAGATAAGTAATAACTGAATTTCCTGCAACACTTCTAATAAAATTATTCATTACTTGTGTAGGAATAGAACCTCCATTCATTTTCATTAAATAATCTCTCAACGTTCCATCTTTAATAATATCTCCCATTCCATCTGATGGTATAAACTCTACCATTCCATCAACTGGTGATGTTGCAACTACATGATAAGGTGTTAGTTTTAAGTCCATAAGGTCTTTCTTCAATAAATTATCCATTAACGCAATCATCTGAACAATTAATTGATCTTGTCTAAGGTCATCTCCATGTTTAACAATCACAATAAACTCTTTATTTTCATAATTAATTTTTCCTTTTGTTTTAGTGTTTTCAGTGTCAACAATAAATGGTAATTTTAATGGTGCTTTGTTTGATTTAAATATATAAGATGATTTGGGATTGATACCTTTTACATATACGCGTGGGTTTAATGGTAAAGCAATTGAACCATCAGCAAATATTTCTTTAACTAATGGTGATTCAATCCATTGTTTTAATTGTTCTAATTTTTCAGGACGACTTAATGGACTGGCAATAAATTGGAGTTGTAGTTTTGTAATTTCTGAAATAAGTTTTATTTGTTTTTCTGTTTCTTTTTTATGTTCAGGATTTCTTTTGTACCCAAACATATCTCGAACCCATTTATAGAAAGTTATATCTCCATTGGTACAACCACATTCTACAGTAAGATACCAATAAAACCAATTTCCAAGTACAAAATTTTCTCTACATCGTTCAATCAGATAATCAGTAAGATATCGTTTACCTGGTTTTTCTTGACTTTCTAGTCTTAATGCTTGAACAAAAGAAAATAAATAATTCTCAAACTCTTCATCTGTAGTACTTTTTAATGAATCTACTGCATATGACCTAACATTACTGTCATTAATAGATAATAATCCTAATGCATCTTCTACATCAATCTTTTGCCATATTTTTACAAATTCAATTGCCTCTGCAGCTTCATGAGGATCTTCCCAATCAATAGCTTGTGTTAAGAAAATATTAAGAGCTTTAGGATTTGTTGCAGCTAAATATCTACCATATCTTCTTAATAAAGCCTTTTGTTCAGCATTTAATACAGTAACAGAAGCAGGCATTCTACTAATAGCTTCCAATTTTTTATATTCCATTATACTAACTGGTTTATTATCTCCCATACCTTTAGCGTCAAGAGAAGCAGTTAATTTCATATACATTTTTTCTCCTGCCATTTCATTACTCTGACCAATAAAATTCAATTCTGTCACTGGACCATCTTCAGTAGTTCTTCCTTGAGTTAGTCCAGTTGGTAATTCAGATGGTATCTTTTCATTTCGTTGTATTTTAACTGGATGATCAAATTCTGGAAGAATAACTGATATATAAATAAGACTTCCAGTTCTTTTTTCTTCTTCTTGTCGAAAAGCAGGAACAATAGATGCAGTGAATTGATCTAGAAAATCTGTTGTACCAGTACCACTCATCATTTTTGTTTGATATTTCTCAGCACGTTCTAATGCATTTTTTTTAGTACTAATTCGTTCTTCTTTTTCATCAAGAATTAGTCTTTGAAGACGTTGTCTTTCATATTCTTCTACATCCAAAGAAATACTGCAATTACTTTTTTTACAAGGTTCTACTTTTACACGTTTAGTTCCTTTTCTTAAAACATTTCCTTTATCAGAACTAAATAATGGTAACACAGCATCTCCAACTGGAACATACCCTTTTTCAACATGATAGCAATACACACGAAATACTACAACTGCATCTTCACTTAGATCTTTATATTGAATAGGAAATATTATACGATCATTCCATTCAGCTTTAGAAATATAATCTCTTGTTGGTGTTCGTTCTTCTTCTATTGCAATAGGAACACCACCACTTATCAATGTTGCACCAATCCATACTTGATTTGGTTTAGTTTTTGGAAATTCAGGCATTCCAATTTTTGCATAATCAATATCTCCATCCATAGAACTAATACATATTTGTACAAACTCATTAATTTCACCAGTTAAATAAAAGACTTGGTATTGTTCTCCACTAGCCATAAATTATTATGAAGAATATTTCTAAGTTCTTTATTTTAATTTTATATATCTTTTTTCTTGAAAAATAAAATCTTTTATAATGAGTTAAATTACTTTGAAAAACATTAACTATTATGTCTTTTCAATTGAACATTAAATTGCAAATAAAACTTTAAAAATTGAATAAAAAGAAATGAGTAGCTTATTCTCTGTAGTTATAGTCAACACCAGCAGAGCAAATAGAAACATCTCCTCTATATTGTTTCATAGTTGGCCATGACCATCCACCGAATGAAGAGAAATCACCGAATGAAGCCCAGTTATCATAGTGAGCATACCATAATGGGAGAGAAGCAGCTGGACCATAACTGTATCCAGATCCAAAAATGCATCCCCAATAATATTGAGATGAATAAACACCAGATACAATACCCATTCCAAGGGCAGTATCAATAAGTTCTTGGAAGAAAGCTCTATTTGATCCAACGTCTGAATACCATTGACCTTCAATATCGAACCAAACTCTCTTGAATTTCATTTGATTTGCAATAACACTTGACCAGAAAGATTGGACTTGACCAGCAGCATTACCACATGAGAGGCATGGATAGAAATAGACTTCTGAGTTATCTCCAACAAATCCAACAGATTGAGCTTGTCCAAGAGTGTATGGAGCATTATCATCAAAATATCCTGGTGAACACCAAGCACGGCAAATGAAGAATCCAGTGAATCCATTATTTCTAAGGCAAGAAATAGAACTAGCAGATGTTGGTTGAGATACATCTACACCATATGATTCGGCTGAAGCAAGAGCCAAAAGTAAAGCAAATACAAACATATAAAAAATTAGTTTTTTTTTAAGTTTTTATTTTCATTTATTCTATTTTTGTATTTTTGTTTTATCTTTTCGTTTAATTCTTTTATTATACTTTTATCATTATTAAACTTAAATGAAATTACAAACTACTTTTCTAACTATTTTGACTTTTCTTAGTTTGAAAAAGCTTTGCTTCTGATTATTCTTGTAGTTAGTTTTGTTTCCTATTTTCTCTGTTAGTTGTAAGAAAACTTTATTACATAACTTTTGCTGCTCAAATAGAATGTGTTTAAATTTAAGAAAAGTAGAAACTTTTATTGGTTAGATATTTTTGTTTACTTATCTATTCTTTTTATCCCATAGTTCTATTTATTTCTTTATTAAAATAATTTCTGAATTAGTGAGTTAAATTAGTAGAAGTCTTGTTAAACTAAGTAATTTATGTAATAGTGTTATACTTAGTAGTTATTTGAAACTTTTTTATTATATTAATAACTCTGCAATTCGGTTTAAAAACTAGTATTTCTTTTTTTCAATACCATTTTTTAAATTTGTATCAAAATATCTAAATACTCCGAAAAATAAATCTAATAGAAAAAGTATTTGTCTTTAAAATTATTTTTAATTAATTCTAAGGAAATAAAGAACAATTTAATTTTATATTGGTTTTGCTAAAGAGGCATTTTACAGAATTGACAGATAGAATGAATCTAATATTCAAATAATTAGTTAATTAGTTATAATTCATTTTATAAGAGTTTTACATAACTCAGTTATATGTTATTATAACACTTTTTATTTTGTTAAGTTATTTATTTTAATTTCCTATTATTAATTATGTCTTAGTTATTGAAAATTGAATGAGAACACATTTATAATTTTCATCTATTGAACCAGATATTATCTATTTGTTTGATACAAGCCTATTATTTCTTAATGAGTTCAATGAAGATTTTAGTTATATTTTAATTAATTCTTTATGTTATAATCATTCATAGATAATCAACTTATAAATAACTAAAACTATACATTCTATTTAATGTTTCTTATGGTATTATTACCAAAAATAAAATAAAAATATTAATTCAAAAGCAAACAATAGTTTATTCTTTGGAATAAAATAGTAAGATTGAAACAATTATTTTTCTTATCAGTGTGATGTGTTTATAAAACATAATAATTTTCATTTTTATATTTATCAAATTTATAAGGAGTAAGAAACATTATGACTCTATTCATTTAAACAATATTTAATTGTATAAAAATGATTGGCTTGCATTATCTTATCTAACAATTGATAATGATTATGTTAAAAAAAATCTTCAATTATTATAGTTTTTTTGAAAAATTAATATATAAGTTTATTATAGTTCATTTAATGTATAAATACTACGTTTTCATTCATTGTTATTTTAATAATTTTGTTAAAGAGCTATTATTTACTGATTATTTAAAAGAATGACTAAATTAGAGTTGTGTTGTTGAGAATAATCATATGAAATATTTAGAATCATTTATGAGAATCTTTTCTATTTATTAAAATAGAAAAGAAGTATGATAACTTGTGAACTATCAAAAAAGTAATAATAACATTAATTTCTGACTGTAGTTTGATTTGATTCAAAAATGTTTTATTAATTTTTCATAGACATTTCTATTGACAAAATATTTCATTTTTATCTTTAGTATAATCTTTTCAAAAATATCAGTAATTAAATAAAAATATAATTTTATTTTTAGACATTATGAGTATTAATTATATTCTAATAACACAATCCCCTTCTTGAAACATTCTTTTTCTATCATTTCAGTATTTTATGTAGCAAATCCATCTATTTTTATCTTTAACATGAAAAAATATTATTGTGATTGTTACTTGGTAACACTGCCACTAATCTAATTCTATAGGATAAAATAAACCTACACGTTGTATTATTAATCTAACTTTTTATAGATGATCTTAAAAGTATTATATTAGAGACTTAGTATAGTCTTAAAGTTATACTTTTGTATAATCCAATATCATATTAGAAATACTAAAAAAACCCATAAAATATTAGTAATATATTATTTATTTACTGTAGTTTCTTTATAAGATGTATTTAATTTATACTAATAAATTCATTATCCTGAGATGAATAAATCAAAAAATAATATATTTCATAGAATTGTTCTAAAACAATAATTGTTTTGAATAAATTAGGAATAGAATAATTAAAACAAGAAAAGAAAATAAAAAAGTAATACTTTATAAATTCTATAATGTGATGTCTATCCACAAGTAAATTTAATTCTGTATAGAAATAGATGGAACAACTTTTTTAGAGACTATATTTGATGGTTGTTGTTCTTTTGTATTTTCTCTTAATGAAACATCAGTTGTTTCAATAGAAATTGATGTATTAGATAATAAAGATGTCAAATGACTTGGTACTGAAAGTTTAGATTCTTCAATAGAATGGCAACAAGAATGTGATTCTTTATGTTCTTCAATAGGAACAGTTTTAACTAATCCAGACTTTGCTCGGTTTCTCCCTATAAAACCTTTTCTTGGGGTAGATGTCTCACTGGTTGTATGAGAAATGAATGATTCAGAAATACTTTTTTCATTTGTTAATTTACTTTGTCCTTTAGACTCAGTGGTTGGACTATCACTTGAAGTAGATCTAGGAGAGACTGAAGCTAGCGGAAAGGCAACAACATTAGGACAATAACAAAATAAACTTCTTTCTTCTGGGCTTACTGTTTTAGCTGTTCTTTCATAGGGGTTCCAACGGGGAGAAGGTGGGGTGATAAGAGTGCTCATAAATATAAAGGAATTGAATGAGAAGATCTTTAGTTTTCAGTTTTTATGATTTTAATAATGAAGAATGAAACAAAAACCGGAATTTTTAATGAAACGAAATTAATTTTTCATGGGGGTAATAAAGTATCGTATATATAGTAAATAATCTCATGTTTAATTTTTAAAACTCATAAAAGTATTATTAATTATAAATAACTAAAAAACACAAATAATTGAATAACATTTTTCTCAAAATAATAAAATCACAATCCATTTGAAACAGCTCTTTTTGAATGTACTCCAATGCGAATAACACGTGGAGATAAACACAATTCAGGAATTAACTGTTGGGAATCAGTTAATTTTAATTTATTTTCAATATCTTTTGAAATATCATCAATACTTCTTTTAACAGGTTCTATATAAATTTTTGAAGGTTTAATAATATTCCTTTTTGAGTATTGAGAAGTATCAGAACTTCTTCCATATTTATGATTTGACACATCATTTTCTTCTTTTTGTTTTATGTCTTCATTTTGTAATTCATTTACTGACTTTACTTGAGAAGGAAGTTCTGGTAAAGAAAAAGAGTTCTTCTTTGATGTATTATCAAAATGTTGTATATCCATTAGAGATAATGAAGGTATTATAGCAATTCTTCTTACATGTTTTCTAAATTCTTTTGGAGGAGTTGAGTCTATTGGTTTAATTTCGGTGTTTTCGTTCATTTTATTCAAGCAATTCAACTAAAAACACTTTCATTTTTTAGTTTAGTTTAATTAAAATCAAGTTTAATAACTTTTTCTATATTTAGATTTTTGTTTATAAAACTTTTTTTTGAAATTAACGCACTATACAAAAAAATATTTATTAGCTTTAATCTTTTTTTTTTCATTATTATCTTTTTTCCTTAACAAACACTAATTTTATTTTTCTATTTCAATCTTTATTTATCATCTGAAGACTAATTAATCAAATTCATTCAAATTAATTTTAATAGAGTTATTAAGAAATTAATGGTAATATATTTAATTGAATAGAACAATTGACATAGAAAAAATAGTAAGATTTGGTTTTTGAAATATTACTAACTTCAATAATTGTCAAAACTCAATCGAAAAATGTTTTTAAAAACACAATAAAAAAAGAAAAATAAAAAGAGTCTAACTCAAAATCGTTTATATTCAAAGAAAGTTATGTCAAAAGGGTTTATAAGTAGAGTTCTAAATCCTAGTTTTCAAGAAAAAGTTAATCAAATCATCAATCAAGAAAGTCCATTTCAGTTAGAAATACACGATAATTTTTTCTGTTATAGAGGATTGCCTCGAAATGAATTTACTACTCTCACACAATTAACAGGACTAACTATAACTTCAGTGGGATTAACTGGTATTGGGTGTCTTACTTCCTTACAATTAATTAATCTTGACTTAACTGATAACGATATATATTCATTCTCTGCACCTCAAATGACAAAGTTAACATCATTAACTTTAGATAAAAATCCATTGTCAAGCATTGGAGAATTACCACCAAATCTTCTTCATTTTTCACTGAAAGATATTGATTTTAGGTCATTTGTTCCAATATTCAAAGCAGTCACACAACTCAAAAATTTAACAAGTTTAAATATGGAGAGATTTGCTCCATGGAGAGAGTCAAATGAAGAAAAAATTGAAGAATTACAACAACAATTTGATCAGGTGAGTAATTTAGAAGATGAGTCATTGCAAGGTATTATGGGAGAAAGGATAGCAATTCTTATTCAACAATTAATGAATCAAATAGATGAAATGACTAATGAAATACAAGGTGTTGAGGAATGTGATAATCCATTATTTAGTTTTATTATTGCTTCATTACCAAAACTTGAAACTATCAATGGACAAAAATTAGATAAAAATTCTGTACGTATAAAACAATACTCTTCTTATAAGGAAACACCAGTTATTGAATTTAATGAAAAAAGACAGAAAGGAATACAAATAACAAGATTTGATACAGAATTACATTGTTGTAATAAATGGAATAAAATTGAAGGAATTAATAAACCGAGACAATTAGACTTTTCTCCAGTAACTGGAGAACTTGTTGTTGGTTCTCTTAATGGAGAAGTCTATATCTATAATGAACATTTTCCAATTAAAACAATTACTTCTGTTATAAGGAAACCAATTTATGGAATTGGTTGGTTTAGAACAACCCAAAACCAATCTAAAGTTGTTATTGGTAATAATGAAGGAAATTTGTTCTTAGTAAATACAAGTGATACAACTTGTAGACAATTACAAACTATTGAAATATTACTTTCACTTCACATTAATTCAAATGATGAGTCAATGGTAACTACTGGTAATGGGTGTGGTGTTACAATATTTGATACAAATACTTTTAATATTAAACATAAATTTGATTCAATACATCAAGGTGCAGTCAATGTTGCTCGATTTGGTTCAGTTGATCCTAATTTACTAGTTACAAGTAGTCATGATAAAACAATAAAAGCATGGGATCTCAGAACAAAAATGAATAGCCCAATACAAGTAATGAAGGGAGTTTCTCCATTTAATAGTGTTGGCATAAATTCTAATGACACAGCAGTTGTTGCAGCAGGTAAAGATAATTATGTAGTACGATTTGATTTGAGAAAAGGAGAGGAAGTTCGAGGATTAAATATGAAATTACAAAAATTACTAGAAGATGATAATTATACGAGGGCATACTTTAATAGTGAAAATGACTCTGTTATTATTGCTTCGACTAAACAAACTTCTTTGTTTGTTTGTGATGCAGTAACAGGACGAGTAACTACAGAATGTTTCTTTGATCCATCTGAAATAGAATACTGTGATGGGTTATTAAGTTTGAGACCTCACCCATTTGATCCATATCGTGTTTACACTATTCCATTTGAAGAACAAGATTTTAAAATAAAGGGGCTTTATGAATGTGATATAATAAATTCCTATTCACACTAAAAAATAAATTTAAAATAAAAATTTTTTTGGTTAATTTCAACTTATTTAAAATTAATAAATAAAGAAAATGACTTAGAAAATATTTAATTACTAAAGTTACATTTGATTGTTGAGAACATTTTTTTCGGTAAATTGTTTGTATTGAGCCAAAATAACGTCATTTTTTTCTATCGTAACAGACTTTTCCTTTTGTAGAAGACTAGCTAAATATGAATTAACTTCTTTACCAATACTTTGAATTTCATTTTGAGAACAAATGTATTTTGAATTGAAGAAAACTTTTCTGATTCTCTCCAGTCGTAATGTTTTTGATGTTGGTTTGGAATATTTTGAATCAAATTGATAATTAAATTCTCTAAGACAATCTATCAAGAAATTTTGTACAAAATATTGTTTATTCTTTGAAAATCTTCTTTGAACTGTTTTATTTGATAAATATTCTTTTCCACTAATTAACTCACATTGTTTTTTAGTGAATTCTCTTAAATTGATCACAGAATGATCAATTATTAATGAATCAACTAACGGTGTTGGAGAAGTTATTGTACATTTTTTACTTTGTTTCTTTAGCGTAATTGCAAGGTATTGATTTAATAAAAGTATTAAAAAGGCTTGTTGATAGCAAATGTCATTTTTTAATGCATGTTCACTTTCTATTCTTTTAGCCCTAGGATTAATTGTAGAAAGAGAAAGCTGTTCGTTACAAGAAGACATGTTAAATTCGCTTGCAAATTTTCAGTTTTGAAAACCTTTTATATATTTCCAGAAATATTCTCTCAAATTATTGGTTTGTTAAAGAAAAAAATTTGGTTTTATTATAAATAAAAACTATTGGTTGTTTTTGTAGAATCTTCCAACTGGAAACGACAAAAATAATTTGAAAAATGATAAACATTAAGAAATTTCTTATTACTAATTTTTATTTCTCTCTTACTGTCACTGGTACACTTCGAATTTTAATCGTTAGTAATTTTTATAAAATAGAAAATTGTATTAACTTCTGTTTTCTTAATTTAACTATAAAAGTAATCTTATATCAAAAACCCTGTATTTTCTCATGTCTATTCTATTTTTAATTATCAAAAATACGATCAGTTCTTTTTAATTCGTTTCAATTCAAGTTTGAAATTCGAACTTTTTCTTTTTAAAATGGTTTGCACCATTAACAACAACTGCCAAATATTTTTCTAGAATAAAAAAGAATAAACGAATAATGAGTAAAGTTGCATTAAAACTCTCAACACTAAATTTGTTGTTTCTTTTTCTACATTTTTAAATAAATTCAGATTTCTATAAAAACAAAAGTAATTAAAATGATTTATTTAAAAAAAATAAAAATGAATAAAAAAGAAAACTTTTAAGAATTTTTAAGCATCATAATCATTAGCATCTACTTCACTTGTTATTTCATTCATCTCTCTTTGTTCTTTTGGTAATTTATTAAATAATGGTTGAGAAAGACATAACTCATGATAATAGGCATGTGCTTCTTCAGTTCCTTCAATAACAATTTTACGTTTCTTTCCATAGTCTTCAAACTTTCTATCACTATAAATTTCCTGAAGAACCATATAATATCCTGGAACTAAGAATCTTAAACAAAACAGTCGTAACATATTTGGAACTATTCCTACTATCACCGTAAACAACGTTACAAGATAAAAATATGGTTGTCTAAATACAATACTAAAAACATCATATGACAGGTCCCTAATAGAAATACCTGGACAATAAACAATTAATAACATAAAAATAAAGAATAAGACTAATGATATTATAAATGATGCTAATGTCCATAAGTTCCATGTTTTTACTTGAGTACATAATGTGAAAAATACCATAAAAAATCCACTAAAGGTTAAATACATTGATACAACTGCCCATCCACCTGTTTTTCCATTTGAACTATAAACATCTACATCAGCTAACATAAAATGAAATACGAAAGTTAATAATAGAGATTGCCATATTCCTTGTCCTAACCAATCAAGGAAACTAGCTAAACTCATTCTGCTTCCTCTTAAAATACCACGATGAACTTCTGGATTATCTTTAATAACTTGATAAGAAAGGTCTTTATCTAAACAAGCAATAAAAACTGGTGGTAATGATGTAATGAAAATATTGAAGAAAGTCATTGTATAATCATCATACATTGACATTCCACTCTGTCCATTAAAGAATGAATACCAAAACAATATTAAAAAGAATGATGCATTTTTGTAGAAACACATCTTAATTAATGTGACATTTCTTAAAAGAGAATTTCTCCCATGAAACATAATCAATTTTGCTACATGCCTGAATTTTCTTAATGCATAATCAGATGCTCTTGCTGCTTGAGTTCCTTCTTTACCAAATAGCCCAACTCCAATATCTCCTTCATTAATCATTGCAACGTCATTTGCACCATCTCCAATTGTTAAGACAACTTTTTTAGTTGCTTCTTTGACAGTTCTGGCAATCATAGCTTTTTGTTTTGGTGTAACTCTACTACAAATAACAACAGAAGCTTTCAAAATGACTTGTCTAAATAAATCTTTTGCATGGGCCATAACAACTTGTAAAGCACCAGCTTCAAATACACACCCAATATTATATGCTTTACCTTCTGATTTACATCTTTCAATTTCTTTGTCTATTTCTTCATCCATTTCAACTAACTTTTTAGTAGTAAATTCTTCTTTATTTTCAATTTCATCAGGAGCATTTCTTAATTTACAAACAAAAGTTTCTTTGGTTAACAAATTACATGACAATCCAATATTAATTGCAGTTTCAACTTTATCTCCTGTAATCATCCATACTTTAATTCCTCCTCTAATAAGGAATTCAATTGTTTCTGGAACACCATCTTGTAATTTGTCTTCAATAGCAGTTGCTCCAATTAATTTCAAATCAACTTCCATTTCATCTTGAACTAAAGCAACATTTTCATCATGACCTGCAACACTACTGTCAGCTTCATCATATCTTTTTCTCCATTCATTATATTGTTCTTGGCTTATTTCTTTTTTTGTAACTAATAATGTTCTTAAACCAACAACACTGAAGTCTTGTAATTGTTTATTTGTTGCTTCAAAATTATCTTCATGTATCATCCTAGCGGCAATAATTGAATCAGCACCTTTAGTGTACATAACAATTTGACCTTCATGAGTTTGAACAATAACACTTTGTCTTTTTCTGTCTGAGTTAAATGAAAAAATTGCCAAAATCTTAAATTCTAATATTTCACCAAAGAGTGATACATAGAGCATAGTTTGTGTTCTTTTGAAGAATAAAACATTACTATCAACAGCTTGTTGGCACAATGCAACTTCATCTGGTGACTGAGATTGATAATTTATTTTATCTCCTTCTTTCTTAGGCCTTGCCTCATTGCAAATAGCAAGAGCAAGTAAGTAATCTTTAATGGCTTGAGCCTTTACTTCATCAACTCCTTCTTTCATAGTAACTTTTGTATCACTAACATAATTGATGTCTTCATTTCTTTTATCCATAACTTCCATTCCATTTTTCTCTTTGTCAATATTCCAATACAATTTGAAATTTTCTTCTAACTTTTTCCCTTCAATAACTTCTCCATCAACAGATGCCATTTTAAATACCATTGAATTCTCAGTTAATGTACCAGTTTTATCAGATAGGACATATTCAACAAGTGCTAATTCATCATTTAGTATAGATGTTTTTGCAGCCATTTTTTCTGTAACAAGTTGTCCATCTTCATCAATACTATAAATATTAAAATCAGTGTCACATTCCATTAACATTGTTTGAATGAATTTAGCAACTTCAAGAGAAACAGCACATGAAATTGGAATTAAGTAAGACAATAATCCAAAATATCTAAAGAATGTTTGAACAGCATTTTTTCCAACACTGATGTCTTCCATATCTAAATACCATGAATCTCTTCCAGTACGTATAAGGAATAAAGACCCAGCAATAGTAGCAACAATGACAATAACTATTTTAAAACAAAAAATCCCAAATACAAATTGATTCATTCTTGCATCAGTATGTGCAAACTTAGTTCTTAATGATGGTTGGTTCAATGCTAATTTAGAATGTTTTCCACAATGACAAACTAGGGCAGTGCATTTCTCTGTATCTTTAATTACTGCTCCACCAATTAATAGATTAGCAGCAGAGACAGGAATATCTTTTGTTGACCCATTTTCATCTTGAATGCTAATTGTTGCATTATATTGATTAAAATATTCATTTGGTGGATTACAATGCATTGTACCTACCATTTTTAAGGTGTCAATATTATTTAAGTCTTTTGGAACAAAAACCTCTTTTAGGTTAGTTTCACCATCTAAAGCAGCTGTTTGGACAAAAACAATACCATCGTCGTTTGATGAACTCAATGGAATACAATCAGCTGGAATTCTGTCATTTGTTTTTAATTCAAGAACATACCCAGTTCTTACTTCAGCTGAAGTAATATTTATAAGGTTACCATCAGACACATTAACTCTAGTATATTTAGCGTTATTAAATCCACGATCAGCAATCCACCTCCTAATATCTTCAATTATTTCTTTAATACCTGATACACACAAAACAAAAACAAGAGGAAGGACATTAGTAATTGGATTGGTAGCACTAATTTGAGGTATAAGTGAAATAATAGCAACAAGTAAAAAATAAATATTAGTCACATGTTTGAATTGATTGTACAAGAAAAGAGGAAGAAAAGAAATAATTGAATATTTTGTTGTTGATACCTTATTTCCAGGGAATTTTTTATTCTTTTTGTCATCATATATATAAATTAATGGTAATGGAATTTTTCTAACATCCTTTGGCTTTAAACAAGGGAATATTTTAAAGAACGTCTTTGATATAAATCCCATAGTATGTATATTTCAAGATGAAGTGATAATAGCTCATTCCTTTTGCTTGAACTTTGCTACTTTTTTAATTTTTGTGATTAGTCTTGTGAGAATTATCATCTTTTCTTTTTTCTTTTCATTCACCATTTTAAGGTTTTTAAAACGAAAAGGTAATGACGTTTTTCCTTTATTAAAAGTAATTATTTATTATTTTTGGTTTCATTATTTTTGTTTTCTTTTTTTATTTTTTATCCACACTTAGTTTTTATAAACCAATATATTTATGATATATAAAACAATTTTAATGAGCTTTTACATTTTTGAAAAACCATATTGTTTCATAAATGTAACGGTTGAACTAAAAAAAGGAAGGAGTTATGGATAGAGAATTAAGGCAACAGAATTTAGCATTGTTAAAATTATTATTGCAAGTAATCAAAGTAACTTCTAAGGCATCTGGAGAATTTTATTGTTTAACAAAAACGAGCAATGAAGATGTAAGAGATTTAATTCAACAAAAATATAGTATTAATGAAACTAATCTAATTCACTTAAAAACAATTTTTCAACACTGCAATGATAGACTAATTCAAAAAATTAAAGAAATGGCTCCTAAATTACTTCCAAATGAATTTGAATTAATGCTAATTGCAATTAAACAAAATAATGAAGATGAAGGGTGTGGGTATTATATACAAACACACATGGAAGAAACAAGTTTAAAAGCAAGTCAATTATCATGTGTTTATAAAGTATTTCATGAAGAATTTAGTATTAATTTGAAAGACCATATTACTGAAATTGAAAAAGATAGAAGTCAATATGAAGAAATTATTGAAGAGAAAGAACAAAAGATAAAAGAATTGGAAGAAGAAATTGATATTGCTTTGAATCATAATTATGATATGGATCAAAAATTGCAAGAACAAGAAGAAATACTTGAACAATATCAAAGCTACTGTTTTGATGAAGAAGGAAATCAAAAAGAATTTAAGACAAGAGAAAGTGAAATGTTTAAAATGAATACCATTGAGTCACTTAATAATCAAGTTTCTCAATTACAAAGAACTATTGAAGAAAAAGAAATAGAAATAGTAAAATTAAAGAACCAAATACAAAATAAAGAAGAAAAATTAGAATCTCAATCAGATAATAATATAAATAACTTCACCATTAAAAATTTAAAGACAAGAATTGAAGAGTTAGAGAAACAATGTAATTTATATGAAAAACAAATAAATGAATTTAATGAAAAATTCAAAGAAAGTTCATTAATTCTTGATAAAAAAGAAAATGAATTAATAGAAAAAGAAATTGAATTAGAAACAAAATTAAGAGAAATTGAATTAAAAGATATGAAAATAGGAGATTTAGAAACAAAATTAAATGAAAAAATTGAAGAAGAACAAAATAATACTACATTACAAGTTTTGATTGAAGAAATGCATTTAGAAATACAAGAAAAAGAACAATATATAAATATATTAAAAGAAAATATAAATAAAGAACAAGAAGAAATTTTACAATTAAAAGAAGAACTTGTTACAAAAGATAATGAACTACAATCAGTTATGGAAGAATTAAATAAACAAAGACTTTCATTAGAATCAAAAATAAATGATGCAATTAATAAAGAACATCAAAAAAATGAAAAAATACAAACTGAAACAGACGAACAAATTTCTTCTGAAAAATTCATTCCAACAAACATTGTTTCAAAAGATGAGAACATAATAATAACACCAAAGATATCTCTCAGAGACAAAATAAAAAAATTCGAACAACCACTTGACAATGAATCTTCTCCAAGAAAAACAGAAGTAAAAATTCAAAATTCAAAAAAACCTTCATTCATTTCAACACCAAAATCACTCCCTAGCTATACTCAATACCAACAAACACAACCAAGAAGATTATCAAATATGAGTGTAAGAGACAAAATTGCATTGTTTAATCAAAAATAATTTAAATAAAGCTACTTTTTGTTATCATAGTTATATTAATTCTGCATAATATCAATGAATTGGGAATAGGTAATTGTTGACTTCGCTTTAATGGCTTTCATAACAATTTCTTTCTTCTTTGAAGATAATTTGATTGTCTCAATTAATAATACTAACTCTTCTCCATCTAACTCTCCATTTGAATTATTATCAATAAGCCTGAACAATGCTTCATATAACATTGGATTAGTAAAGTATGTTGCTGAACGACTAACATCTTTTAATAACTCAATAAGAAATCCAAATTGTTTAATTCTTATTTTTTCAGATTGAGTAGTTGATGTTATAATACTGATAACAAGGTCAAGAGCATTTTTTGTTTCACAGCCTCTTGGAAACATAAATCGAGCAATGTGAGAAACAAGATCCTTTGCGTTAATATATCCAAATTGGCAATTATCAAGTTTTTTAAATAAGACATTATACTTCGCTTCAAGATGAAGGAAGAGAATTTCAGGTTTTATAGCAACACATAAAAACTCAAATTCAGTTAATTCCGTTTGAGGACCTTTAGTAATAGCATAGTCTCTAATATCTTCAAACATATCTTTATATCCAAACATTGTAACATTCGACTCTTCTAATTTAGATAACGTATGAGCTATTTCACTACAAGATACAGTCCCATTCATATCACTGTCAATAGCTCTAAATATTTCTACAAATAATACAATAACTAAGTCAGCTTTAATTTTAACAAATTTAGGCTCACAGCACTTATTATAACACCACATGAAATGTTCAAATTCTTTTTGATTTAGTGCATTATCATTATCTACATCACATAAAGAAAAAAAGAATCTCATACAGTCTATAGTCGTAGGATCAGTAGAACCAACTAATGGAATCATAACGTTCATTACTTCATCACAACTGACTCTTCCTGAATGAGTTTTATCAACAATATAAAAAGCAAGCTTATTCGCAAATAAAAAGTTCATTTAAATTAACTAGTTCAAATGAGGAATCTTTTTTTTTAATTAAACTATTCATTTTTCCTTTTGTTTAATATTCGTTTTTATTGAATTTTTGTTATTCACTATTTTTAAAACTCTTCTAAAGAAATACAAAAATTTACTTGTATTAGACTTTTCGTTACTCTTGACACTCCCAATAAGTTGTACTTTTACTATAATAAAATAGTTTCTCTTAAACCAATTCAAAAAACCCTCTTTTCCAACAATTAAAAATAACACAAAGCTTATTGTCTTTCACCTCTAATTCTTCTTGCAAGTTGCATATCTTTTGGCATAATAGTGACTCTTTTAGCATGAAGT